CCATTTACATTGCGGGAACGATCCTACAGCTGCAAATCACAATGGAATTCTGTCGACCGCACATGCACGAAAAACAGGTGAAACCCCATTTACAATGCGGAACCGATCCGAGCATGATCCGCCCATGATCCGACCACACACGAGACCGTCTCGCAACCGTCGCACCGCAGAGGTAGATCATCGAGGTTCGGGGACGGACTTTGTATGGAAAAACATAGGGTTTCGTGCATCTGCTATCTCTCAAAAACGCATTTCGTGCGAGACTTCCTTCAAAACTCCATCGGCAACTCCTCCACCAGCACCACTTGCAATGCCATTCTAACTTGTCGACGCTGCTGTCAAATGCTAACTGCAAAATCAGGCATGTTTTTCTCACACGCCAAGGGCCACGATCTGCGGTCAAATCAGAAAAGGATGGATGAAGACAGAATTGAAGTCAAATTATCCAGCATGATTCACACTGACCCTACTCTTTGACTGAAATGTCTTCATCGCACGGGCAGACAAGCCCCGGAAATGAACATCTCCGTTACGGAGGAAGATTCGGCATATCGCTCCTTTGCCGTGTTTAGTCAAAGAATCGGCAACTTGATATCTAGTAGGTGTCCAAAGGAGCGAGGCCTTCTGTGCATCCTTCGTGTTTGTTGTGACCATTTGTCTCAAACCAGCAACGCCCAAAGCAACAGCACGATCACCAATCGACTGCTGAGATTTGTAAACAGAATCAAAAACACTCTTGCAGTCAGTACAAAGAACAAGTCTCTTAACCAGATTCCAAGGAGTATCATCGCCCCATTTCAAAACTTCAGGACCAATCTCAATTTCGCAGGAAAGAACTCGAGCATAATGACCCATGTCAAAACCCATAAAAGTACCATGAACCTCACCCTGAAAAGAAGATTCAACCACTCGTCTGTTGGTCTTGGATTTCCAGTCAATAAAATTGCATTTTGAAGGACCAATCTTGTTCAAATCATCCCTTTTCACAATTCCAACAACGGCACCCTTTTGAGAATACAACTTGTACTTGTCTGACAATTTTCCTACATGTTCATCTTCTTGGTCATCGATTTCAACACCAACCGAACTGTACAGTCCAGCATCGTGAAAAACAACAACGGCAGTGTCTCTACCTAGATTTCGAAAAACAAGGTCAACAGAAGCACGTTTGGCTTCCCTAACAAGTTGATTGGCCATTAACAAGTCTTTGACACGGAGATCATTGATTCTCTTTTGTAACTGGTTGGTATCAAAACAAATGTCAACACGAGTTTGAGTAGACAACCATTGAAGACAACCCAAAGTGCTACGAAAATCGCTTTTCTCTTGTTCCGTCACAGTTGCATCCACTTCTTTGGCTCTGGTCTTGTCAATGTCAATTTTGCTCAGCCTGCCTTGACAAAAATCATTCTGATTCACCTTGATCACGCGTTCACCATGTTCATAATCGATCTTGATTTGTTTTCCGCAGTAAGTAACTTTTCCAACCTTGGCAACTTCTTCCCATTCCCCAAAAGGAAACATGTTCTGTAATTGAACAACAGTAGCCTCAATTTCCGGGGTACCATCAGTAGCCAACATCAGGTCATCAACATGAGTAGTGACCATGGCATTAACCAACCCGTGAACGTTTCGATGAATGAATAAGGCCGGATCAATAACGGAAACTTGAAAACCCAATCCCTCCAACGCGCTACGTAAAGTAGCATACCAGGCTTTGGGGGCTTCCGGCAAACCGTACACAGGTTTCTTCAGCATCAACAATTGGTTTTCACTAACACCAGGAATTCCTTCTCGAGGTGGTTTCATGTACGTAGGTTTACGCTTGGAAAAATCAAAACACTCACCCTGAAGAAAAGCATTCGACACATCACCATTTCTCCAAAAATCCAACCAACCATAAGAAACAACATAATGGAGAAACAAATAAAACGAAGTCCTTTGAATCGTTGGGGCATCAACCTGAACCAACCCTCCTAAGGTATCAGGACAATTTTGTCCTCCAATCACCAACCGAGCTTTCGCTTTGATACCTAGAGGTTTTCCATCTTTCACCATCCCAGCATGTTTGTCCCGGTAGACAAACCTCGATCCCAACACGCGTTCCGGCTGCTCTTCTCGAACCTTCTGTGATTCAGTGACATTCAAAATTTTGACAGTATCATACTTCAACCAACTATCCCATTCCTTTTGTTTGGCTTCTTCAAAAAGGTGAATATGTTCCCTAGGAATCCTACCTAAAGGAATTTCTTTGTCCAAAGCTTTGAGTTGTTTCTTGCCCGTTTTACCAGGAACAGTAGCACAAACCATTTGGTCTTGCCTTTGTCTTTTGATAGAAATGGGGACAGAGTCTTCACAAAAAGCTTGTTGTTGGGTACGTATACGATGGTGAAAAACAGTAACAAGAACTGCCGCTCTACCTCCAGGTATGAATTCATGAGGATCAGAGAGATTCCTCCAATTGATTTTGTCTTCAAACAAATGCCAACCATTCTGTCGCCAAACCCATGAACTTCGATGTGGATACTTCTCACCCTCAAATTTCCCATACGGCGTACGATAGCTCCAAGCATTGTATGACACTTGAACAGGGTTACCATGATCATCAAAACACCAACCGGATTGTCAAGCCGATTCAGAAAGTTGTTTGTGGTATTCATCAACAGAGACATCATCATGGAACAAAGGAACATTCTCAATATCTTCACCATCACTCATTTCATCAACATCCAACGCAGCTTGATTCAACATTTCACCAGGGGGAGCTTCCTGGTCGGTCAAATCCAAATAGGTCATTCCCTTCCTACCGTTCTTGAAGATAGTTAAAGCCTCCTGAATTTGTGGTCGACCAAACAATTGTTCTTCACCTATAGCCTCTCTGCAGTGTTCATGAGCAACCAAATAACATCGTCCACCCATGGTCACCCAAACTGATGAATTACCTTGAAGGCCAACCACGTAAGCAGGTCCAACCCAACCAGAAGACAAACCCTGTTGTTTGGTCTTACGATTTTCCCGGTAAAAGAAACACAGATCACCAATTTTGGGTTCCTTCCAGGGACGAGTACGATTCTCAACCGTTCTTTCCAAAATGGACTTGGATTGAGCTTCAACAAACGCCTTTTGGGATTCATACCTAAACTTCATGAGTTGAGCTATACGGGACCCACGTTCACCCACTTGAAAATGATAGCTCACAGCTTCTCCATTGGCATATATTTCACCCTCTCTCTGAACATCCCTACCGAAAACCAGCTGTTGAGGACTAAAACCATGTTCACGAACTAACGAGTTTTTGGCACTGACACATTCTTTGACCATCATGTTCATGTCTTCAGGTCCGGAAACCTGAGCACCTGTCACCGTTCTTTTCAGCATGTCTTTCAAGACACCGTTGTGTCTTTCTATCTTCCCGTGTTGCCAGTGAGCTTGACCCGCTATTGAATCAATAGTACATGACTTTTGAAGATCATCGACAAACTCGGGACCAATAAAACCACGTTCTTGATCAATAACCAATTCACGAGGGGCTCCGAAAGCATTTTGCCAACAGTTCTTAAACGCTTGAAGAAGGCAACCAGGACTGTGATTTTCAACCAAACAAGCAGTGTGGTACATAGTAGCTCGATCAAGAACAGACAGAAACCAATGACCTGTGTTGCGAATATCCTTGGTTTGAAAACAGTCAACCAACACTTCATCATTGAACTGCAAATCATGTGGAGGAATATGGTGCCTACGATGAATGCGTGGTCTTTTGGACTGAGCACAAACGCTGCATTCAATCCATTCGGCTGCTTCAACAAGTTCCAAATGGGCACCACCTGTCTTGAGAAACCGTTTCAGGTCTTCTTTGCTGGGATGCCCCAGATTGCAATGAACTTTTCGGAGAGTGGACCTAATTACAGGAGAAAGCCGTCTGCCTGAAGGGATACGAAAACTGATACCCTCACTAGGAATGACTTCTTCCAAATCCTTTTGGACAGACCCTTCCATTTCAACATCGTGAGGATCGCCGGAGCGACCAGCGGCATCTGTCACACCAACCCATTGAACCAAAACCTTACCAAAACGCCTCTTCGACCACCGGAGTGGTGTTATCTTGTGAACATCTGAAGTCAGGCGACGTGACACACTCCTGAGCAAAGAGCGAACCCGTGAAGGTTCTTTCCGTCGAAGGGTTTTGACAAAACCTCGATGCACTGCGTCTGCAATTTCCTTGATGTACCTTCCCGCATGGGATGTCACCTTTGTCCCTTCAAGACACAAGTCATGTGCATGTTTCTTAGTACATCTCTTTCCAAGTTCATGACAAATCTCTGGTGACGTACTAAACCACAAAGTAGGTTTCTTGAGGGGGAGTTTGGAAACCGGATGCTTGATTCCAAAACGACAACCATCACCAATGCCAACGAAAATTTGGGGGTCCCTCAAAATTTCGGAGATGTACTGATCGGAAGAGGACGAACTATCCAACGGCTTTTCTCCAAGAGCCTCATCATTTCGCTGCATCTGTAGCTGAAAAATATCTTTCACCAACTTCAGAAAGGGTCTCTTTTTTGCAACAACCTACGTTTTTCCTGCGAGCTCCTGCAACTGAGATTGGCCAATTGACTATCGAGGGTGCAAGGATAACTAACAACAACCAAACGAGGGGCATACTCATCAATCTTCTGCAACAACCTTTCACGAGTACACTCATCAGCCAAATCATCACCATAAACCAAATTAACTGGTTCCATAGACCACCAACCCCAAGACTGAAAAGACAATGACACTTGCGCGGTCCCAGCAAACACTTCGAGGCCGATGGGTTCCTGACAAAAATGAATTAGATAAGCCGTGGGAAAGAGTGCTGGCTACTGACGAAGCAAGCAGAATGGATGCACAGGCCAAGCTACGACAGTTTCCTAGCAGTCTACGGCATATTCCAAGCTTAGCACGTTTCAAACGGCGCTGTCTTGCAAGGATTGCCTGCCTAATCCGATCAGGTGCACGGCTCAGTTCTTCTTCTGCTCGGACTGCTTCTGCTTGCGAGCTTCCTGAAGAAGTGTCACTTCCTCTGGAGTCAGCGCGACCATCTTCTTCTTGCCCGCTCCCTCGGCAATCTCCCAATCGGAGCTCTCTCCGGTCGATGGAGTCTTCCTCTGAGCACGTCGCAAAGCATTGCCATTCATCTCTTCTCCATCGTCCTCTGTGCTGATCTTGTAGCCAGAGCTGCTGCTTTTCTTGGCCAACCACTCCTGGTACTGCTTTTCCTCCTTTGCCTTCTGCATCTTCTGCACCACTGCCGTTGGCTTTCCAGCAAAGGTAGATGGCAGAGTAGAACGACACAAGGGAAAGCGCTGACATCCAAAGAACAGCGACGAGTCCATACGATTGGTCCTCTCGACCATAGGCAGTCCACAATCTGGACACTGTGGCGCCGAGGGTTGACCATCGGGAGCATCCATCATCTCCTGCACTTCGGTCTGAAACCAGGTGAGCTCTTGAATGAGTTTGGCACGAGTCCAACCCATCCAATGACCATCTTTGCTCTTCTTGTAAAAGTCCACCACGTGGTTCTCGTACAACTGCTGCAATACAGCTTTGTCTTCTTTCTTCCAGTTTGCCGGGAGAACAGGTGCCTGCTTGGCGGGCTTCAGAGACTGCCATGCCATTTTTAGCTGATCGACACGCATGTCTGCCAACTGAGCACGAGACAAACGTGTCAAAGGCAGGAGGGCCTCCACGAATTCGTTCTTTCGCCGAGGTGCAGTCTCCATCGAAGTCATTGAAAGAATCAAGAATCTGCGAAGCTACCCTGCCAGTGAAGCTTGAGCCGAGCTGCACGATCAAAGCTACACTCACCCAACACAGGAAACAGCAGAGATGCCATCCCCTGCCCTTCTCAATCACAATTCTGCGACTCCATCGAAAGCACTTTCCATCGCTCCTGAGCATGTATTTTCCTCGTGGCCCTTGGTCTTTGTTAAATTTCACGAGGTCTTGGGGTTTTGGGATTTTTAGGGTATATTGGGTTTCAAAGTGGTTTTAAATAGCTGGTTTTTTGCCGAGTCAAAGGTACGAGCCCCAACTGTTTCCAACTGTTTCCCGTTGCACTTTCAAAAAAAAAAGGGGATTGCGCGGAACGTTTTTTTTTGCAAAAAATGGCGGATTGACAATTTTGGCACGATCACGCCGGGCCGCTCCCGACTGTTTCCGACTGTTTCCGACTGTTTCCGACTGTTTCCGACTGTTTCAGTTTCTCTGGAACGCCAGTTGGACCTGTGGACCACTGATTCAACAAAAATCACAACATTCAACACTTTTCCTCACGACCCTTCTGCGCGCAGGTTGCTCGAAATGATGCATTTTCACTTTGAAACCCAATATACCCTAAAAATCCCAAAACCCCAAGACCTCGTGAAATTTAACATTGGTCTTGACGCTCAGTGGATTGTTGAGGAATGATCTCAACTTCATTGATGTTTTCACCAATGACTGCCTTCTCTACCTCAAAGTCCTCAAATCGAACGCGACGTGCGTCCGAAGGAACCAAGGAGTTCTCACTCATAATGCTGAATCCAACCAGGCCAGTCCTTGTCACTGCCAATGGAAGCTGCACACCAATGGCACTGAGCACAAGCTGCGACTGGCCCAAGTCCATGACCGCCCCAAGAGCCTTCATGGTGGGGCGGCTCAAAAGAAATGGCACGTCATCAGAAACCACACTGCAACGGATCCACACCTCTGGGCAGCTGATGTTCTTCTGCTTGTTGACAAACTCCAGGGGGAAAACCACTGCCCACTTGGAATAAGTTCTCGGTCCAGCACCAAAACGACATGGTTCATGCTCTCGATGGCACCAAAAAGGAATCTGCTGATGATGCAACCTGGTGAGATGGGATATCATCCATTTCTCACCTGCTACGCTCCGGGCACAACAAGTATCCGACAAAGCCAGCAACTGACTCTCTTTTCTCAAGCTGGCGGTCTGCATCAGCACTTGGAGATCCTTCTGGTCCACGGTGCCGGTAAGTTTCACTGCGAAAGCATCCTCCAGACTATCACCATCAGAATCAGAAGTGTTCTGAAGATTGGAGGTCACAAATGTCTCATTGGGTTTTCCTTTCCTCTGAGGGCATGCTTCGTCACTATGCCAGTGACCGTAAGCCAGCACTCCTGCTGCCTTGCAAGCACTGCATGGAAGCTTCTGTTTGAGAGCTTCAATGCGTCGTGCCCTTTCCTCTGGAGTTTCTCGTGACTTGGAACTCTGACTAAAGCCACGTCCCTTTTCAGCTTCTGCCCGTTTGCGGGCAGCATGTGTCATGAGTATTTCCGCCTCAACTTCTAACTGGCCAGCTTCAGAAAGTTCACCATCTTCCAAGCCACCCTCGTCGCCATCATCCTCTCCAGCTTCAGCAACGGCATTGACCCGATGAGCCCCATGGAATTTCTTGGCATTCTTCCACTTCCTGGGACCAGGTCCATTCATGCTGCTGTCCGCTGATTTGGAAGAATCGGCATGTTTGTGGACATCTGGAATGATAGCTACCAAGGCCTGACGAAGTTTGAGATAATCGTACACGCCCCCAGCAGCTGATACTACCTTCTGACGGGTGTCATCACTGATGCCAGCCTTCTGCAAAAACCACCAAGCTTGAGCTGTGCCCTCGAGTGGCGATCCAACCTCACGGAGTTTGTCGCACTGGATTCTAAAGGAAGTGTCATAGCTGCTCATCTGTTCACCTCGTTGGCGCTTGAAGTGGTCAAAGAAGTGGGAGAGCACCTGGAACGTCTTCATGTACTCCAGCGGCTCTAACTCCTGGTCCAGGTGAGCCAGAAGGACACTCACGCCATTTTCAGTCTTGATGCTCTCGAGGTCCAAAGTCTCTGCTGCCTTCCAAGCTAGTCCAGAAAGACGTTCAAGCAGCCTGCCTGCTCGATACTGAGGAGATATGGACGTCACTGACTCAAAGAGCTTGACTCTTCGTCTATACTCTCTCATGGTGGTGCTGCCATCAAACTCAGGAATGGAGTCCTTCCCATACCTGACCTTCTCGCTGCTACCCACTGAGCTAGTAGGCCTGTCGCCTTCACCACTGGCGTCGATGGGTTCGAGGTCAGGAATTGGTTCTTCTGTCCCTTCATCAAGTGATTCAGGGATTGCCTCATTTTGACTGCTCCACCATTGGCAAAATGCCTTGTCGGTGGTGATCCATCCTTGCTTCACTGCCCACTCTACGGCCTCGTCGAGCGTGTCTCCCCAAAATCTGCCCTTCGGTGTGTTCCACCATCTGCCGGAATCTGCTCTTTCTTGCCTATCATGTTCTGAATGAGGTGCCGACCACGTAGTCCATGATGACCTTCTACTAGAGTAGGGGGTGTGATTCCATGACGACTCTACATCCCAGTGCCCCTGAGACCAGTCACTAGAAAACCACCGCTGATCACTATAGTGATTACTCCACTCATCATCTTGCCACGATTGATTGCTACGCCCTTGCCACCAATCATAATTATCCGACATGGCTTCCCTGGATCGGCAACAGCTCCGCGTCACCAATGTCGACGCTGCTGTCAAATGCTAACTGCAAAATCAGGCATGTTTTTCTCACACGCCAAGGGCCACGATCTGCGGTCAAATCAGAAAAGGATGGATGAAGACAGAATTGAAGTCAAATTATCCAGCATGATTCACATAACTCTTTCTTTGACTAACTCTTTCCCTGACATTCTAAAAGTTACAATAACTCTGTCCCTAACTAACTCTTTCCCTCACTAACTCTTCCTTTGACTAGCTCTTTCCCTGACAGTCTAGAAGTTACAATTAACTCTTTCCCTAACTAACTCTTTCCCTCACTAACTCTTCCTTTGACTAACTCTTTCCCTGACAGTCAAAGTTACAATTAACTCTTTCCCTAACTAACTCTTTCCCTCACTAACTCTTTCTTTGACTAACTCTTTCCCTTACATTCTAAGGTTCTTTGACTAACTCTTTCTCTGACTTTCTAAAAGTCCGTAACACGGAAGTTTCTCCCCCTAAACTTCCTTTGATCAGGATAAGTTCTCATAGATCCTCATTGGTTTATTGATTTGCGGATCTAGACACTCTTTGGGTTTCAATTTTCACGGGGAGATGTGCTCAGATCCCCTCTAACTTTATGTGGGAGGAACCAAACAAGGAGCTTCACGATTATTCTGTGGAGAGGGAAGTGTGGGAAAGATATGGGAATGAGACAGCATCATATAATTTAGACATTTGCGTGGAGAGACCGACAGAGATAAATGTATACATACAGCATGTTGCGCACATATCAATACGTCTGTTTGCATGCATCGTAGTTTTATATCTTCTAACCTTACCACAGTCATGCACATACATATTTATCATGTATATATATATATATGTGTGCGTGTATGTATGTATATGTATACATCCATATATATATACATACGTGTGTGCGTGTGATATGTGTGTATGTATGCATGTGTATGTATATATATTTATATATGTATGTATCGAGAATATATCGAATTCCTACAGGATCTTCGGACTATGATCAAGCAGAGCCAGGTCGATCACCCTCACAGATCGGAATCAAATGACCATCTCGCCCCTTGGTGTTTTTCAGTGACATGGGCGGCAGCTGTGGGACACGATTTTTCCGGGTGGTTTGCCCCAAGGTGAACGCATGTTTGAAGAAACAACCACTATTTTTCATTTTTTCAACAAACCCAAATGGGATAATTTTGAGCAATGTTTGATTCATCTCTTTGCTCAAGAACTCTATTTGGAGAATTGTTTCTTGGATTTCTTTGGGTGTTAAAGTTTGACATAAACCAGGTTGCAGGCTGCTCAGCAGTCACAGCTGCGATGTCTCAAACCTGCCGGATTTGAGCAGCTTAGCATCTCATTGTGATAAAATGGCAAGTTTGATGATTATCTCAGCCATGTTGCAAATATTAAAACTATCATTATTATTGCATTATTGCAAACTGTGTCCATTAGAAAATATAATATCATTATTTATGGTTGCAACCATGCTTCACACTTTGTCATCGACAAGCCGAGGTTGAGTGGCACCAACCTGGGTCTCCACTCACGAACGCTTGGGGGCCCGGGATTGAGCTACGACCAAGGGATCCATGGGGCGAGCGACTGTTGGGAGGTGACCATGGGTAAGAACCATGCTAACAGCTCTTAATCATGGGGATTAAGGTGACTACAGATAAGCATTGATGCAGTTTGGGTGATGATATCCCAAATATGGTACCCTCTGGTTATGATATCACCTATAGCAATGCAAGATTATCTAGCAGTTTTCAATTTGGTGGTTTAGTTGCCGAGTTTGGTGAGAGGAAATAAGCCGGAGGCTGGTTTGCTAAACCAATGGAATATTGTCTAAACCCAATTGGAATTCGTAGCAGGGGAATTTCAGTTGCCAAATTATTTATTTGATTTCAGTTATTTATAACAAACATATGGATGTAACATTTAGTTATATTGGATTAATTATTATTATAACATTTAGTTGTTTATAGATTTATAACTTCAGTTGCCACATTTAGTTTGAGAAATCGGATCGGACCACAAACATGTGGATGTAACATGACCTCCTTGACTCCTTGGTGAGGCCCAGCGACTATGCTCAGAGCATCAACTGTGGAGCACCTGGGCCAAGCTTTGGAAACCGGAGGTAGCTGGAGGTTTGAAACCCTCGATCTTCGGGGTCAAGATGACTAACTTAGTGACTTACCCCCAAGATCTCGGAGTCCAACTTATCACCAGGTGTCAACCTTATATAGTCTGATCAACTTTGGATGGATACTTCGCGTTTTTTGTTTGATTTCTCTTGCTGGAAATGGTGGGGAAACACTAACCAGTGTAAAGATATGTTCTGCAGGGGGTCCACGACTTGCCATGGAAAAGCTCCACATCCCACGAGATCAGGGATAGCGTCCTGCGCCTGATCGCGCGACATTCCCATGCCCCCCAACGCCGCGAGCGGTGACCACGACTGTGGGGACCAACAGCCAGATCTTTAACATGGGTGGCGTCACCGCGCAGGAGTTCCTGCAATGGATCCAAGCCTACACCGTAGGATGGGTGCCGGATGAGGTGAGCGGCGCCAATGTGGCGACCACACACATCGCGGCTGGCTTCCTCTCGTACAGCGTGATGATCCACATCGTTGCCAACAACGGTTGGCTTGGCGATGGCATTGTGATCAGTTGGGCTTTCCCATGTCTCTGGTTGTTCTGGTGGTAAATCCAATTTTCGAACCAAACCATATGATTTTTTGGGGCTCTTGTCTACCCTTTTAATCACCAACCAGTCTGCACCCGAGGCCTTCAATAGCACCATTGATGGCACGGCGAGTACCTTGACCAACAAGGGTTTTGGGACGGCCGGTTTTGGAGCTGGCCATTCCTTGGATGTCCTTCCCAGCTCTAGAGGAACAAATTTCATGTGGATTCAAGCAACCCCTGGCCAAAGGTCACCACCAATTTCATAGGGACTCATGAACTGCCAATAAGCACCAAGAAGATCTTATTAACATTGTGTCACCAGCTGTTATTGGGGGGTCACCTTTTCAGGGGCTGATGGAATCCTCAAATGGTGCAGAGGCTTCTGGCTGTAGCTCGATTGGCCTGTTGGTTCGGGGCGAGCTCGTGCTGCATTGGCACGGACTACGACCATCTACTATTATTGGTTGGTGGTTTGGAACATTTTTTATTTTTCCATATTTTGGGAATAGTAACCCCAACTGACTAATATGTTTCAGAGGGGTTGAAACCACCCACCAGTATTATATATATCTACAATCATTTGTTGTCATCTACTATGACCGTATGTTTCCAGATTAAGTCATTTGCCTCAAATACAACCCCCGTATGCATGTTAATGATATACCATGCTTCTGTCCCAGTCCTAACCTGGATGCTTGATCCCAATTGACTTCAATTGACGTAGCCCATTGACGTAGATTTCTTTGGCAGGCAAAGCAAGGGCAAGGGCAGCACGGCTTCCATGGACTCCCCTTGGATATGGACAATGACTTCTTAAGCCCCTTAGGCCCTTAGGCCTTAGAACTGGCAAAAGATTGCCCATGAAGGTGGTTTGGCAAATCCTTTGGCCCCTTGAAATATTGCATGTCCGATCAAATAACAGACTGCATTCTGGTTGGCTTTCGGAGGTTTGCTTTTCCATTCCTGTGCGCAAAGAGGATCACCATCAGCCGTCTGTGGCAGATGTTCCTACACAACTACACACACCAGGTATTGTGAGTGATGGGCGGTTGCGACTAAAATCTTTTTGTTCTACCTTTTGCAAGTCCGGTGATGCACCCAATAACCAGCATATGGAGCCATGGAGCCCCATGGAGCCATGGAGCCCCGAAGAAAGGAGCCCCGCCACTGCCCAGGCGTTTCGTGCAAGATGGGCGTAGACCGCCTCAGTGGGCAGAATGTGGTGATGGTGAACCTGTCGCCATATGTTGGAGCGGACAGCATGTTTGCAGTGCTTGGTGGTTCACCTCAGTAAATGGGTTATGACCCATGTGATAGCATGTGATAGCTAGGAATCTAGTATTTTGCTAGTCCAATTATAACTTGGGTGAACTATCCTACTTACAACCTGCGATAAATCACCAGGCAGATATATGATAGCACAGGATCCCTATAGATGCAGTCATACCTTCTGTGATTCTTTGTTGTACGAGAAAAGGGTGGTGGATTGTCCCTTCTCAGGAAGCATTTGGATCCGTAGGGGATGCAAGTAGCTAGTGGCTCTGATATCATATTTGCAAGTCTTGTTTGGACCTTGGCGTTGTTTAGACGCTTTTCGCGTGGATGTTTCACAAGCTTGGAACAATACTCCCGAAAATAAATCAATTAGTTCAAAACAACATTGCGAATCAAAAACGCAGCTGCCATTTGAAATTCAAGCTGTTCCAGGTTCTACCCTGTAGTTTGCAATGGGGCCCAACGGTATATTGATGTTTTAGTTGATTGAGCCTCCAATATTGATAGGGAACTTCCGGATTTTGGTTGACCCGCTTGAGCTGGTGAAAACATGTTACGCTTGTGAAAACCGTTTTTTGTTGGTTGTATAAATCAGCTTTTTGTTGCTTGAATGAATTGACTCGCCAGTATTGATTGGCTCAACCCTGAAAACCTGTTGAGTCAACTGACTCAACCCTCAAAGTCTACGGAAGAAAGGTGCGTGCGCACGTGAAATTTCTGAAGTTGAAACACCAAGTTTCGCGCATGTGTAGAAACAAGGTAGCCAAAAACAACAGCTGTCTGAAGCCATGAAGTCCCCAAAAAAAACTTCAGGGATTAACAAAAAAATGGTGAGGTCTACACCTTGGACGCTTCTGGGTGTGGACCCAGAGGTGCGCGGAGGGCGGGGAGGACTGATGCCAGGGCTATCCTATGGATTCTGTTCAAGAAATGAGGGTTCGATATCGTGTGATTTCGATGCTAACTATGCTCATTTTATTATGGAAAATACAACGAAATTAT